GTAGTGTGTGTGTGTGTGTGTGTGTGTGTGTGTGTGTGTGTGTGTGTGTGTGTGTGTGTGTGTATGCGTTTTTTGAACAATACGTACCTTTATCTTCATGTTTCTTTCGATTTTACTTTGACCATAACTATCGACTACAATAGCACCCAGGTGCCTGATAATTTGGAGCTTTTAATGCAAAATTTGCAATTACTATGTCAAAGTATCCTATTCTCTGAAAACTGCCAACAGCTCGTACGTGTATCAATATATATATGAAGATAGCCAACCATATGATGCACTAGAAATCCAAACAAATCTTGTTTGGACTTCATTTTTGACAGTGACCCTTGACGACAATAGCACCCCGGTGCCCGCTTATTTGTGGCTGTTAATGCACAATTTGCAACTAGTATCCCAAAGTATCCTATTTCCCACCCAAAAAGCGCTCTCAGTATATCCAGGCTACCTGGGGGACTGAGCTAACAAAAGGTGATAGGTGCCATCTGCCGCCACAGTCAGACATATGGTTCACACGGCCGTTTGAACAGCCACTAGGGAAATTCATTAATCATATTCCATTTTTTTGTGTTATACGCTCTGAAAATGTGGACTAGACGAAACTTGCTGATTTATTGTATTTGATATTTTGATTATAATAGTTCCTTCAATGCGCTGATACGTAGCAAACAAGACCCTTTTTTGCATTGTGTCTTTCAAAAAGAGCCCGGGGAATTTCCCCGGAACACGGCACCTGTCTTCTCCGTCACGACCCGTGGTGGATTTGTACCCGTGGTACGTTTCCCCTTTTTTGCGGGTGGCTCCTGGGTACGTGTATTTCACGGTGCGAACTGTGTGAAGTGAGAATCATAAAGAGAGACGCCACCTGCAGCTGTGACCGTCACGTTCAGCGTTCATTGGTCCGTAACACAAGCGGCCGTCTGACATGGCCCCAGGCTAGATCACACGAGCGCACCAGCTGTAGTTAGACAAGTCTACTGCCTAGTCTCCACCAGACTCCTTTGCAGGCTGAAAAAAATAGAAATCGGCCTAAAAAAGAATGTAGTTGGCCAGGAGAGTTAGCCGGACAGAGACTGAGAGAGGGTCCAGGAAGCAAACTGGACCCTCTATGTCCGGCTAACTCCCCTGGCCAACTACATTCTTTTTTAGGCCGATTTCTACTATTTTTCAGCCTGCAAAGGAGTCTGGTGGAGACTATCTACTGCCTGTGTGTAGTGTTCTGTTATATACTAGTACTTCAAATTCCAGTGA